GGTACATCAAAATTTCAACCAGTACACCGGATTTTGACCAAAATATCCAGATTTTGACTGAAATGAAATTCCATTATGTATCGTTTCAGTTAATGTAAAAAATCGATATGTACCGGCCATACCGGCCAGTATGAAACGGAATTGATAACACTGCTTATTACATAAGTTAGAAAATTCATGAAAGTTAAAACGTCTCCACCAGTAAGGTGTTTTGGCAAATACAAGGACTTAGGTTCGAATCTTCTAAGTGACAATGTAGTTTATTTATATTTAGATTATAACAAATATAATATAATGCAAAGCATTCAAAAAATTGATTTACGTCAGATGGAAGAAAACCTTCCTTAACTAGGCGAGGAGGGGAGTTAGAACTTCTTATTAATCATTTGATAGTTTTGTCCTTATTAACAATTATAAAATAAATAAAATTGTATATAGTCACCCTGCTAAAGGTCTGTAGGAATCTAGTGGTACAGGATACTAAAGTTTCTTTCAATTGTAGCGTTCGAACCCAGTTGGTGACATTTGTTTAAAATTTGTTAACATATTAAACCGGCCAATCGAATAATTCACTGATTTGTTTCGGTTTGAATAGTTCTGTCAGTTTGGAGCAATTAGACCATCTTACCGGTTCTGAGTGTTGTCTGAACAGTTATTGCTTTCAGGTACCAGTCCCAACCAGTTTAATCGTCTAATTTGGTCTGGTTTTTGAAACATTGTTTGCATTTGAGGCAACATATCTACTCTTGGGAAGAAGGTTTGTAAGTGGAGCTGTTCAATCCTTTGAATGGGTTTGTAAATTTCTTTTGGTCAACCTAACGTTTGGTTATTAAAGCATAGTGGTGATGATTTGTATTCAACCAAATTAGAATGTTCAATGTTAGAAAAGTACAAGGAGGCTTGGCAACCATGATTTTCAAAAGAATATGGAACCCTCTCATTTCTAGTAAGGTTTCTTCTTTTCTTGGCAATTGATATTGGATAGGATTGCAACTAAATTCAATTTATTAAAAGGAGGCATCTTAAAGGAAATTTAGAGAGTCTGAGCAGCATGTGTGATGATTATGTTGGGGACTATACCCATTTGTTTATTCATTACAAATTTGCAGCTAGATTGTGGTCAAATTAGTTTAACTGGAGGGCAGTTACCTATGTCTTGCCAGTAATCAGCGGGAAGTTTAGACACGGAAAAAGATTGTTCCAATTGTTTGGGTCGTAAGCAAATTACCTTCTTTAAAGAACACTGTAATCAATGGGACAACTGTGTAAGTGTGGTAGGGGTGAGCATTGGGTATGGTTATACCCATTATTGGCAAGTATTTTATCCATTTGGGTAAGGTATTGTAAAAAAGTTGGTTAAGTAATAATGAGAATGAAAATAGTATATCTATAAGTATCAAGTTAAGTAACAAGTATAAAGATTTAAAACTATTTGCTCGACTTGTTTAATTATTTTATTTAATTGATATATTACATATATTTATATAATTGAAATTTTATATATTTATTATACTTAATATCTATATAATAACAATAAGTTTTAAAAAGAAAAATAATAAAATTCAAAAATAAAAATAAAAGAAATCACACATGTAGCTTATAAGCACACTAGGCATGAGAAAGAGAGGTAGAGAGAGAATAAAGGGCTCAGGCAATGGACACTAGGCATGGAAAGGACGGACAACATTGGACAAAGAGGGAGAAGCAAGAAATGGAGATCGGAGGTCTTAGGAAGACAGGGAAACAGCAAGCACCAAATGGATCATGGGGAATGGGGTTATGATAAAGGGGTTTACAAGCAAGCTACAACATTCTTCTTTACTAACTTTCCTGAAGATTGGACTTACTTAGAAATGTGGTTAACGTTTGCCAAATACGGGAGAGTACTGGCAATATATAGCCTGCAAAGAAGAAGTAAAAGTGGCAGTAGGTTCGGCTTTGTGAGGTTCCTTGATGTGAAACAGGTAAAAGAACTTGAGAGTCAACTGGACCAAATCTGGATTGAGGGGCGCAAACTCTGGGTTAATGTAACCAAATACCTTGAAGAAAAAATAGAAAAGGTGGAGAGGAGAAGAGTCTTTGGTATAGTTACTGTGGTATAAGGAAAAACATATGTAGATGCAGTAAAAGGACAGCAAGTGGACAAGCCAAGTGAAGCAAGGGGCCATGAATTTGTGTCAAGAGCAAATGCAGATCTGGAAAAGTACCGTAGCAGAAGGAATCCAAAGCAGCAAGAGAGCAAACAGACATGGATAGAAAAGAGCAAAGAAACAGAGTGGTATGGCTTTGAATATAATGTGAAATTTGAGGATTATAAGTGGTTACAAGGCTGTTTTATAAGAACAGCTTGCTCTGTCGAAATTGTCCCAACCCTTCAAGAGAAGTTTTATATGGAAGGCTATTTCGCATGCCGGTTATGAGCAATGGGTGGGAAGTTGGTTTTATTGGATTGTGAGGACAAGGAAGAACTTAGAGACTTAGTGTAGGGAGCTCCAGATTGGTTAGGCCAATGGTTCCTAGTAGTAAAACCATGGTCACCACCAATGGTAGCAAATGAAAGATTTTGTGTGGATGAGATGCCAAGGAGCCCCTTTGCATGCTTGGGGTCCAGAAGTTTTTGAGAATATGGCAGTTGCTTGGGGTAAATTTATCTATTTGGATGATAATACTAGTAAGAAAAAAAGGTTCGACATAGCTCGTTTCCTCATCTCAACGTCGATCATGGATTCAATTTCAGTCAAAAGACAAATTAGAGTTAATGGTGTGATATATAACTTAAAATTCACTAAAGAGGAACAGACGAACAACCTTTTCTCAATCAAATATGACTTCATGCCAAATTTCAAGAGTGAATCAGAAAATGAAGAATCATGGTCAGAAGTTAGTGATTATGAAGATGAACACGGAGAAGGCAAACCCGGAGTAGACTAGCAAACCATCACTGAAGAAGAAGAAGAAGAAGCCGGTGATACATGGGGTCTATACAAAAAAGACATGGGGTCGGTTTTCATTTCATCCTTCGAGGAAGAGGCTGAATTTGAATTAGAAAAAACCAGTAATGACGTGAGGCAATCCAAAAAGGCTGACAAGAGATCACATAGCCAGATTGAGGAAAAAGATTCAATAGAAATGGTGGCAGATAGCATTAATGTGGATGAATATTTGAATGATGCAGGAGATAGAGAAGACGTTGGGGAATGCAACTCTGATTCAAATGCAAAAATTCAAGCCACAACGGATCCTATTAAGGATTCGAAAGCTATTGGGCTGGAATTAAGGGCTAAGCCCATTAGGGAGGAGGTGGGCCAAATGCACCTCACAACAAAAGAAATGGATATCACAGCTTGGGCAAACGAAGAAAGGAGCAGCAACATGCAATCGGGAAATAAGATGAGGCTTGTTAGTGCAGTTGAGAAAGGAGCAACCTGTAGACAAAAAGGAAGCACAAAAGGAACGTCTACCATGGAAAACTCCAGGTTGTTCTTGGCAAGACTTGGGAGTGACGAAGGCAGGGAGAAGGAAGGGAGAGGTAAAAAGGAAAAAAGAGAGAAGAAAAGGACGAGGAAGAGAACAAAATTATGCAACTCGGTATATTAGAGAGCCACTTTGCTTGGGCGGCTAAACCAAAAGAAAAAAGGCAAAGCTAAAGCTTAACCAAGACAGCCAGAGGCGCAGGGGAAGAAGGTTCTGGAGTTTGTTCCATGCGCAACCAATCCAGTAGCGGGAGGCTCAGTGGGGGACAGCGGTATTGAGAACTGCAACAGAATTTTGAAGAAGTAACCAAGTAGAAATATTGCAGTAGATCTATGGAATTTTACCAAAAAAAATAGGGGTAGCAGTTGAGAATGGGGAGAATTTTATTAAAAGACTCAAGGAGATGGAGTCGAGAGACAAGAAAGCTACAGAAGAGGAGAACTCAAGGAAAACAGCCAAGGCACAAAAGGTTAGTTGTTCTACATAATGAATATTATGTCCTATAACATTAGAGGGTTGGGGGGTGTTGGAAAGAAAAGACAACTTAGACAATTAGTGTGAAAGACAAGGTAGATTTTTTGGCTGTTCAAGAAACAAAGTTAGAAGAGGTGGATAGAAAAATTACTAGCTCAGTATGGGGATATGAAAAGTTGGATTGGGTAGTCAAAAGCTCAGCAGGGATGTCAGGCGGTCTATTGTGTTTATGGAATAATAAGATACTAAGAAAGACACAGGTTTTTGAGGGAGAAAATTATATAAGCATTGAAAGGGTGTGGGTTCCAGAACAAACTCTTGTTATCATTATAAATGTGTACTCTCCATGCCAATTAGCTGGCAAGAGAGTCTTATGGGAGGAGTTAAAAACTCTAATATCAAGAAAGGGGGGAATATATGTTTGGTAGGAGATTTCAATACAGTTTGGAGAATGGAGGAAATGGCTGGAAGAAGTGGTTTGACGGTGGAGATGAGAGAATTTGATAATTTTATTTGTGTATCAGAGCTGTTTGACATTCCTCTTGTGGGCAGAAAGTACACTTGGTATCGGGCTAATGGTAAATCCATAAGCAGACTAGATAGATTTTTGCTTTCTAAAGGGTGGCTATCAAAGTGGGATGAGGCTAGACAGTGGGGATTATGTAGAATAGTATCAGATCATTGTCCAATTCTGCTTAGACATAATAAAGTTGACTGGGGGCCTAAGCCATTTAGATTTTTTTACGCATTACTGGAATTAGAAGGTTGTAGAGAACTGATAAAAGATGTGTGGAGCAAGGCTAATGTTCAAGGGCAGGCTAGATTCCACCTTAAGGAGAAATTGAAATTAATTAAGGAGGCTTTAAGGAAGTGGAACCAAAACCTAGTCTCGGATATTGACAACAAAGTAAACAAAGCAGTAGCTGAAATTGCTTAAGCAGATTTAAAGGGAGAGAGGGAACAACTAGCGAAGGAGGAGATCAAAGCGAGAAGGGATGCCTTTCTAGATTTGTGGAAGAATCTAAAGCACAAAGAAAGGATGATGCAACAGAAATCAAGGAAAACTTGGCTGCTAAATGGAGATGCAAACACAATGTTTTTTCATAATTGTGTGAAAGGAAGATGGAAGAGAAGCGAAATGAACAGCATATATGTGCAAGGAACCCAGATTGTAGAAGTGAGCAAAATGAAAGAGGAGATTTCATCTTACTTTGAAAGTATGTTTAAAGAAAAGCAGGGGGAGAGACCGAAATTAGATGGGATATGCTTCAAACAAATATATGTGGAAGACAATAGCTCACTCATCAAACCATTCAATGTAGAAGAGATAAAGGCAGCAGTAGAAGATTGTGACAGCTTGAAAGCACCAGGCCCCGATGGATTCAATTTCAGATTTGTCAAGAGTGAATGGAGGTAATTAAAGAGGATGTGATAGGATTCCTACAAGATTTTCACAAGAATAGAAAATTGGTGAGGGGATTAAATACCTCTTTCATCGTCCTAGTCCCAAAAGTGGATAATCTACAGAAGATTGAGGAATTCAGACACATTTCTCTCATTGGTGTGATGTACAAAATTCTTGCAAAGATTTTAGCCAACTGGTTAAAGAAGGTACTTGATGGGGTAATTGGTGAGCAACAAATGGCGTTCATCAGTGATAGAAAATTAATGGACGGGGTTGTCATAGCAAATGAGGTGGTCGATGAGGCAAAAAAAAGGAAGAAAGAAACTTTCATGTTTAAGATTGACTTTGAGAAGGCTTACAACAAAGTAAATTGGAGTTTTCTGGATTATATGATGCAAAGGATGGGGTTTTGTGCTACTTGGAGGAAATGGATCAAAGTGTGCCTGGAAACAAGCCTGGTCTCAGTCTTGGTTAACGGAAGTCTGACAAAGACAATTCACAGTTTCCCCAAGACTCAGACAAGGGGATCCTCTATCTCATTTTCTATTTTTAATAGTTGTTGAGGGGCTAAATGGTTTAATCACCACAGCTTCACAAAAGGGCCTACTTGAAGGAGTGCAGGTGGGGTCTCACGGATTCAAAGTATCACACCTTCAATACGCTGATGATACAATTTTGTTCGGAAAAGCTTCTGAGGAAAATGTCTGGGCAATGAAAGGAATACTAAGATCATTTGAATTGGTTTCAAACCTAAAAATTAATTTTAATAAAAGCTAGCTTGTGGGGATAGGTGTGGAAGAAGATTGGTTAGAAAAAATGTCTTGGGTGCTATGCTGCAAAAGAGGAACGTTTCCATTCAAGTACCTGGGGATTCCCATTGGGGGAAGCTGCAGAAAACTTGCTTTTTGGAAACCATTGTTGGACCTCTTCTCATGAAAATTATCCATTTGGAAGGGGCGGTACTTGTCTCTCCGAGGTAAAATCACTCTTATTAATTCGGTGTTATCTAGTGATGAGCCTAAATTTCATACAATTATACATGGCTTTTTAGTCAATAATTGTAGTCTTTTATATTTTATTGGAACGATTTTATTTGGTTTTACATTACTTTTATCATTCTTTGTAGGTAGAGGATAAAACTAAAGAAATTGAGAGTAAATGGGTTGAAGTGACAAAAGTTGAAAACATCAAGTTTGATTCCATGATTTCCCCATTCAAAGACTAAAATTGAATTTTCTTCCTACATACACGTGACACAACATTGTGGGCTTTATCTCATTGTGGAGATAAGATGGGCTTTAAAAAAAAGGGCACGCAGTTTTCGCAGGGGGTTTGATATAAAAAGGGGATTTTTGGAGGTGGAAAAAAAGAGACTTCCAAGAGGGGATTCTAGAGGCAGCCGACAAAAAGCTTGGAAGGCGAGTTTGAGGCAGAGCTTGCGCGGATTCTGTGCAAGTGATGGCAGAAGCAAAGGCAGCCACTGGGGACACTTCAATCGAAAACAAAGCGGACAAGCGCGACAGTAAAGGCTACAAATCTGAGTTCCACAAATTGGGTTTTTGCTCTTCTAAACTTATTTTTTCCTTTTTTTGGATATGAAATTGTGGTTCATCAATTTAATCTCAGATTTTATCATGTTTAGTATGAACTAATTTTGCCATCTAAGGCTACGATGTAGCCTAATTAATTTAATATAGAATTTCATGATTTTTATACTTTCAAGGGTTATTAATTCATATAGAGTATATATTATTGTTCTTAATGCTTTTTAATGATTGGCCACCATTAAAACTGATTTGAAGAGCATAATTGAGACCGAGAGGAGGTTTTATGCTATAGCTTTTAGTAATATATACCATGAATTGAACGAAAGCAAGAGATGGACCAACGTGATTTGTGTAGCATTAGTGATAGATGGACTTAATTTTCTACGTAAACTAAGGAATTTCATAGAACATAATGCATCTTTATCTATTTAAATTCATATAGAGATATAGTGGGTTAATAGGCGAAGATAGGTTTGGTATAACTTGAGAAAGTATATCGAATAAAATAGAAAATCCCGCTGTCACGTGAATAATAAATACCTTGGAAGTATATTGATCTAAATTCTATATGGTTAAATACCCTTTTTGATCCCCCTACTATAGGAAAAAGCCCCTTTTTAGTCCCTGTACCGAAAAAATCCCCTTTTTAGTCCTTACTGTTCACAAATCCGGCCCCTTTTTAGTTCTTCCGTTAAATTTTAGCTGATGTGGCATGTTAATTAACGGAAGATTTTATTTTTTTCTTTACTTTAATTACGTGGAAAATCCATCCGGCAAAACTCGATGACATGGCCAAATTTTTTGTCTTTAATTACCAATTTACCCTCATCTTCTTCCTCCATCCTCTCCTTTCTTCAGCCTTTTTTTTCTTTTTTTT